AGAGAGAGAGAGAGAGAGAGAGAGAGAGAGAGAGAGAGAGAGAGAGAGAGAGAGAGAGAGAGAAATAGACAACGAGCCGGACGATCGTTTGCGCTTTAAACACGGCAGATAACTCCGAAACCACTCGTTCCGCGGATAATGGGCGCGCGACGGTGACGCGAAGCATACACGCACACATACACACGCACGTGGAGCCTGCCGTCGCAATATCGAAGGAAAATATCGGCATAGGTTGTCCGATATTACGCGCGCCGCGCATCTGAAAGTTCCACGGTTTTGTTGCCTTTGAAAATGCAACCGACCGCGCGCCGTACCGCGGGACATTGTTTTTCCTCCATTTAGCGTTTTATTGCATTACCGCTCCATTTCCGGGAGAGGGTCTAGTGTGTTTGCGAAATTCTATTCTCAGGGGAATGATATATTGTATTACGCGTTTGCGGAGAAAGATATTTACGTACTGCAGCTTTTCGCGGCGGTTTACCGCGAGAATCGTCAACAATTTGCAACTTTGGCGGCCTCCAAATAATACATCCCGCGTTTCCCAATGATTTTCGAGTTCGATCTGGCAGACGTCAGACGCGACGACTCGCGCCTCTACGATACTCGATGCTGCCGTTACCGCTCGTAATTCCTCGAGAGTTCGCGCGATGTGCATGCAGAAATGCAGAATACCTCGCCGAAGAGTATCTTAACGAGCAAGAGAGAGAAAGAGAGAAAGGAACGTTGCATTACATCAACAAACGTCGTTACTCTGTTCCCATTATCCATTACATTTCAAAGTAGCATAAATTATGCTCCTGCGAACGAGACGGTCACTTGAGATATATCCCTCGCTTTCTGTGTTTTAGATGTTTTGAGCCCTTACCGCGCGCGCTCTCGGAAAGATGAAGGCTGTGATCGGCTCCTCCTCGCTTCTCCTCCTCGTTCTGCTCATCAGCGGTGTTGTTTCCGTTGAGTGGAAGCACAGCGCCGTGCTGGACAACAATTTCTTAGTGCTGTGGACGCCCGGCGAGAGAGACGTTACGTTCGAGATCCAGGTGAAGACCCTCGGCTATGTCGGACTCGGTTTCACGAAGGCAGCCGAGTCCGGCCGCGCCGGGGCTGACATGGTCATCGGTTGGGTCGATAACAACGGTCAGGTCCACCTTCAGGTAAGCGGCATTTCTTTACAAAGTATCGAGTAATATCTGGTTCCTCGTGATCGGTCGCTGTCGAGTCCCACTAACGTCCTGTCACGTTGCAACGTAGACGCGCACTTGTCTTGCGATTACACGGAAAACAAGGATCAACTGCTGCAGCAAAAATTTGGTTGTGGTAGTCTCGTTATAACATATGGATACCTAAAAATGTAGCTTGTCAGCAGGCATATATTTAGCTGCGAACCCGATGAGGCAGCAACAGTAGCAGAATTTTGGTTACAGCAGCGAATTTTTAGTTGCAGTAAGAGATACGTTTTCAGCAAACCATGATTAGCTACGGCAGAGAAATCCTTTTTTCCGTGTACGTATGATATTCACGACTTTGAACCGCGATTTGTCCGCCGGAGCGCGCTTGAAGAGGTAGTAATCAAGCGTATGTAGCTCATTGCGAGAAATCGCGTAAAACTTGTTATCTTGCACGCATGCAGAGAACATTTGTTTGTGTTAGCGTAAAGTTCGCGGTTTTAATGAGTGAATCAACATGTTTCTGTTGAAGGCTGCACAGAATTTCAGAAGTCCTGTGACCCAAGTTTGGGGGATTTTGAGAACCAGAAATTCTGTTTTCCTCAACTGACCCACGTTGGTTCATTAATTACAACCAAACTTTATGTCGATACAACCGACCTTTTTTCTCCGCGTACCTTCCGGCGTTTCAACGTCGAGCACGGCAATATTTTAAGTTCAATTTTCGTTATAAAACGAAGATCGTTTAGAATTTTATTGTAAATTTTATTGTAAAATACAACAGCGTAACGTATTCCCGCTATTTCGAGAAATTTAGTTGAGCGTGAGACTGTGATTTTTACTGTTAAATCATCTGAAAAGCACGATCTCTCGACAAAGCTACTGAAAAATTTTATTATTTGTCATCATTCGGTACTCTTTAACAATAAAAAAAGCGAGGTGGGAAACATCGTATTTTTATTGCTGATTCTGGCCGCTTCGAATGAAAACTGTAGTTAGCTGCAAATGAAAATAGTCGCCGCGTAGTGCGCTCGCATTAAAGCTCACCGATATTTAAATCAACTACGCCAACATGCCCGCTTGTGTACGCACAGTGCCACGGGCTTGATGACGAGCGGGTGGGAGGGCGAGAGTAATCGAGAATAATTATTTCCGTGCTACTGATCGAGTGGAGTTCCTCTTTGAATATTGTAAAGTCCACCCTAGCACGCCAACATTGGCGATGGAACGCGCTTAATGGTAGTCATTCGGGAGATAAGTAATGGCTCTCCGGTTTCGATCGGCGCATCGGATAGTTATCAATCATGCCGACTAAAGCCGACAGCCTGTCATTATGCGTTCTCCTCACTTTGCACGACACTCGGTACATCGTTGGGGACTCGCCCGCGGAGACGATTGCCTTACGTAATTTTTCCGCGAAAGTGCGGTTCTCGTAATTCGCTCGTTACCTCGATGCCGCTAATCTCTCCAACCACGGCCATCTGCGGGCATCATAAGACAAATGTGCACGCCGTTTGTATCGCTACTGCCCGTATGCAATGTCTGCATGATCCTTGCTTGGGAAACCTGATTGTATCTAATACATACACTGAGGAAGAAAAGTGATTGAGACGATGACAGTTTGTTTGAACGAAGATAATTTGTTCGAGCAAACTTATCATTACTGTGAAAAATAACAATTTGTTCAATAGATACAATTTCTTCGAAGGCGGGTGACAGCCGATTTTGACAACTGCTTTTCCTCTCAGTGTAGTGTCATATTTTGTTTCCTGAGTCAAAATTTCTACTTTGCACTGATCCTGCAAATTCCATCGAGATATCTCGAGGTAAAATACTACAGGCTGTCGTATTTTGATGCTATACCAAGGGAAAAAATATTTGAAAAATAATAAATATTTACTTGCGGTGAAATATTTACTAATATTTACTCAAATCTAAATTCTCTTGTTTAAATAGGATAAATTAATGCTTGCATAAAAAGAACTGGTGTTTCAGAAAAATATATATTTTCTCGTTAGGGAAATAAATATTTTTCTCAATGTAAAAATATATATATCGGAGAGTGTAAATAAACATATTAGTACCCAACAAATATTTATCATTTTTTAGATATTTTTTCTCAGTGCAGGAATAATAATTACACATTGCGGTTTTGTTGAAACTGAAAAGAAGACTTTCGTTCAAGAACTATTTAATAGTCAATTATCTCAACAATATATCTGCATTTAATCTTTACTCTTAATTTCAATAAATAATGTGTTAATTATGTAGCTTACTCAACTGCAGATAGAGTATTGCAATATGTGAATAATCTAATAGGAATTAATATAGATAAATGTGTAAATAAAACAACAAATATTCTTCTTTTTATTATTTTTATTATTTTTATGGTATTAGAAATTGCGATAGAATGTTCGGATTGTAAATAGATGGAAAAAAAAGGTTGCAAGCTTCACTTGACTGCCGCTAACTCTGCGTCCTGGAGTCCGTCTTGGAGTCAGCTCCTGATCGTCGTCGTAGCCAAGTGCTCAGTAGTTAGACGAAAATACGAGAAATTAATAATAATCACATTAATAATCACATTAATTAATAATCACACTTTAATTGACGACGATCGCCCAGTATTCCAAAGGACACCTTCGATACACACCAGGCGCGTGCGGTATTAATTAACTTATAATTAATTAGTTGATAATTAGGTGACTTGAATATATCTCAAATATTTTGAGAGCGTAAATGTCGTGATTTCTCGGTCACCGTATGTACTCGCCATTGATCGGCGAGTGACGACGGTGTTGGGAGGTGACGTGGCCCTTTTTTGCCCATTGTTTTGGTACTCGTGCGCGCGTATTTGTCCGCGATCAAGTCATTACGTCTCGAGCTGACGAGCCGTACACATACCGCGTCGCGCGGAGCACGTGTATCGGTGCTTTGTTTACAATTCCCGTCGGGTGAAATATTTCGCGTCGGCTATTGAGATATTTAATCGGACTCTCGTCGCAGCATCGCGTTAGAGTTGATACACGCTCTTCTGATTGAATCGTATCTACGCGAGTGCCAGTGTCAGTGAACGAGTGTTTGAAATGTCATGAAGGGCGGGACGCTGGAATCCCAGGACGCAGGGACGCGCATCATACATTTCCAGATGTGTCAAATTATTTATTATGCAGAACGTTTTCGGTTTTAACATGTTGAACGCCGTGATAGTCACCGGTAATCGGCATTATGATACTACCACTCTCTCGTTAATTATGTATAAAGTATAATTAATCGCATTTGAAAAATGCGGTCAATGGAGCATTGACAGCGTACGGCCTATGGGGAATCAATGGAACAGAGTGAAAAATAGACGCGTCACAAATCACTTATTCCGTAACGAATCTGTGATAATAGAATCATTAGTTAAGCTTCCGTATAATCAACGGGAAACAACACGGCGTTCAATGTGCTGACAGACGTTTGACGGATTCATCGAAAATAAAGAGATACTCGAAGCGAAATTCAGAATTTACTATATAGACCTGATATTTATAGTTTATCATTTGATAAATAATCATGACTTCAGTAATCTCTTATTATTTGTTTAGTTACATTTATTTCACAACAAGAGATGTTGATCTCTAAATAGTCGATTAACGATCCATTAACGAAGTACAAATGTGTGATTAATTGCGCTCTTAATCAAAGATAGTATTTTATTATATTTCATAATTCCTCACTGAATTGCAATTCCTTCAAGTTTGATGGAACTCGCAGAATTAATATAGATTCTAAGTTTTGGTTCGAGTCGAGAAACACATCTGCGGAGAGTATATTTCCGATCGCGTCAGCTGTTGTAAGACCGGATGAAAAAATTGCGGTCGCTTGACAAATGAGATAAGTCCAGTGAGATGGAGTACTCTCTGTGTGAGGAGAAAAATTAATGGTTATCATTTTTTAATTATCTTACGACGAGACTCTTCACACTAGAGATCGGTTCATTGTGTATAACGTAACCGCCTATGATGGCACCGTCGTCGTTGGAGAGAGGAAAAAAGAGAGAGGAAGCGAAAGGAAGAAAAAAAAGCACGCCACCTCTCTTTTACGTTAATGACCTCTAACTTGCGCGTTTCGCCATTTAATTTCGTGATAACAAAACCGAGGTCAGCAAACTTGCTTGGATATATATTATGAACTGTCCGCACTGTGGTTAGATCCGACGCCGTCGTAACAGTTGGGAGTTAATACCGGTGCATGTGCGACGCGGCGACGGGGGTTGGCTCTTTGAATAACAAGACGTCATTCAAAGAGAAGCTCGCGCGCTCATGGACCAGCCAAAGGCAGCGCAGGAGAAGTTCTGCCGCGTAATCTAGTTTGCGTGCGATTTCCACGTGAACCGCTGGCACATTCGCGCCGGGATCGGGGAGAACCACGGAGGTTTATTTTCCGAGCGTTTTCAAATTTGCAACGTCGTTAGTCGCGCATCTGGGGATGCCGCGGAGACCCTCTCGGGCGACCGGACGTGAAGGGGATATTCTGCGTCGCTATATCCACCCTTTCATCAGCGTTACGTGGTCGGTGACGGCTCGGTTTCCTGCGAACGTGGCCGGATGGATACGTCTGTTGGTTCCTCTTCTTCATCTTCTCTTTAATACTTTTTTCCTCCGTCATATCTCTTTCGCGAGGCGAGCGAACTGAATCAAGGGGCAAAGGGAAAGGGAGAGATAGAAGCCGCTGGACGCGCGTCGCGCGAGCTTTTTCCGTCGTATTTTTATCGACTCCACCACGAGAAACGCTCATTTCGTTCCGCCATTATTTCCCAGTTATTCCGCGCATAGATTTATCAGCGACTACTTTGCGCACGGCTTTTCGTCGCGCGTTGACGTCAAAAGAACGTGTTCGCGCGCGGACGTGCTCTTTCTCCCTCTATATTTCGGCGTCAACGCGCGGATGTAATGCCATCACGTTGTTGAATCTTTTCCTCTCTCGCGGCGAGATTATAATGCGCT